TATATATATATATATATATAACAATGTATATTTATAACTAGCAAATGTAATTATATTTTACCAGTCGACCAAATATGTAACTTGCCCCATAATAAGTTTCTTCGTGAAAATTCTGTCTCGATCATCGTGTATAACTATTCATTATGAAAATTTTGTCTCCATCACTGTGTATAACTATTCATCATGAAAATTTTGTCTCCGTCACTGTTTATAACTATTCATCGATCACGTACTACTTCATTTGCATAAAGGCCAAGAAGTTCATCTAGAGGAGACAAATCCTTCAACAACTTATTGTCATCACCATGATCATATCCCCGGCGGTATGCCGCCGGCGTAACCTTTGCCGGCGCCGGAGAAGAAGAATTCTTGCCGGTAAATTTTTGAACTACAGATTTGAAGCTGCTTGCATCTGTTTGTATATATTCTGTATTTATTATGACTATCTTCACACCTTCTTTGGACATTTTTGGATAATTCAATTGTAATTTGTAACCAATATATATATATATATATTTTCTTGATTTTTGTGTATAATAATATATATAAATAGAGATATGGTAGTATTTTCTTGATGTGGAATTTAATTATTTTGGTGAGTTTTTAAAGGACTAATTTCATAAATGGAAGTACTTTCCAGGAAAGTTGCAAGGGGAGGTGTTGGTCATGTTTGTTTGATCATGACTATATATATATATATATATATATATATATCACTTAATTTGTCGGTAAATTTTATTTAGAGCATTTGAATTATGACTTGTTCTGATCGAGAACTTGAAATGATAATTTGTTTCTATTAAATATTTGAATTATGACTTGGTAGTGTATCTGTTACGTAGATAAGTCAATCATATAAATATTTCTATCAATTTTAACGCATTAAGTAAGTCGTAAATCCTCAAACTTGTTCCAATTGTTCTTTCCTTTTTTTCTCCATTTTCCCCGGGAAGAGCGTGATTCAAATTCTCAACCTATCAACCAATAGTGGAAGTGTTCAACCACTTGAGCAAGCCTCACTTGTCAATATGTTCCGAGGTTATTGCATGTATAGTTAAAAAAAAACAATGTAACATATTTCTCACGAATCTATTTGAACTATATATACATCATGCTATCATCAGCACCAACATGTAAATGAGATGAATTGGACGAATCAAATCACTAATTCATTAAATGAATGAGTTAATACGTAAGCTTCATCAAATTAAATGAATTATATTTTTATGAGCTAATTTTATAGGGACATACGATAGATAATCGTACACATGGTAGGGGTCTCTTGTTTTTGTCAGTTCATGAAAAAGTCAAGACATGTTTTATTTTTCATGCACACACGTATTGTACTAGTTATGAAAAATTGATATATTTATTTTATTTTAGCAAAAACTTTATTTTATTTATTTTTTATTATTATTTACGTTGTTGAGTTTATCAACTTTATTGATTAATTTAAAGTTTATGTTATTGAGTCATTAACAAAAAAGGGTCAACAACGTTGCGTTACAGTCAACTGTCCATTTAATTAACATTATTATAAAATGAAAGAACTTGTCAATATAATGTTTCACAAAGTCAGTAATTAGCCACAATCCACAATCCACATCATGTATATATTTTTTATTATTTTGTCTCATGTTTGATATCTGTACTGAATGTGATTAAATTTATATTCGTTCATTTATAGGGGTGTGAATCCTATAAAAAGAAGTTCATTTTCAAAATCTTTAGTTAAGTATAGAGAAATCTCAATCATTTCACCATAATCTATATTTTACTGGGGAATATTTTATAAATTCGTAATATTAAAAAATAATAACATGCCTAATATAGTTGTCACTTTCACAAGTGAGATTTGAAAAATAAAAATGTAGCAAATATTTTTTTAATCTTTTAAGTAAAGAGATTATTTTCAATATACCGTTGGCTTAAAGAAAATTTGTAATATTAAAATGTATAAACTAAACGATGAATTCATTGTGACCTCAATAAACTGCCAAATATAGTTTTATTTTAGCTTTATTATAACATATATGTTGCGAAAAAAATATTAAAAACACCTCTAAATTTAGCACAAATTATTAGTTTTACTCTCCAAATTGTTGACAATCTTAAAAACACCATTTACTTGACTAACTGAACTTAAATACACCTCATATCTTGTCACATGGGTGAGATACACCCCTAAAATTCTTGTCAAGTTTAGGAATGTTTTCAACACTTCTCTCATCTTTTTAATAAGAGCCCCACACTTCTATGAGATCACTTGTTATGTCATATGGCAGATCGGGGATGTATTTAAGTTCAATTAGTCAAATAAAAGGTGTTTTTAAGACTATCAGTAGTTCGGGAACGGAATTAAAAATTCGCACCAAATTCATCGGTGCTTGCTTTCAATACTTCTCTATATATGTTTGTATCCCACTATTTATTATTGTGCTTCATCGAAAAAATCACAACTAATTCAACATAAAAAGATGATTGTGCCTTTAAAAGTGACCCTTTTAATTTCAAACAAATATCTTAATTTTTATTTTAAAAAAAGTAACTCTTCAATTTTTTATTCACACTAGACAAACCTAATAATTGTTATTTTGGTCAACATTTCACATCATATACTAACTATAAAATTGGAATAGAACATAGACGAAATTGTACGGACTCTATTTAATGAGGTTTTTGACAAATTTAAAATTAATTAATTATAGTCAATTATTGAAATGGTAAAATTATTTCTATATAATTTAAATTAAAAGTTACAGATTTAAACTGTGAAAACAGTTATAAGTGGGTTCATTTAAATTCCTTGAGGCTTCATTAAATCTCAAAAATACTCTTTAAATTAAAAAATATTAATTTATCAATTAAATAATACTCTACAAAATAATTATAATATTTCATAATTCCCACAGTATTAATTCAGAGAGATTTTACTGTATTTGAATTTGTCATAATGGTGTGTCAAAGACCAAGGAAAATAAGTAAATTTCTTGCTTGTTTTTTGTGTTTGAATTTTGATACAAAAATAAGTGTGTGTATATATATATATATATATATATATATATATGGAGGGTTCACCACCCTGTTGTTTTAGCAACGAACTTTGGCGTGTCAGCTTAGTTATACACATCAAAATATATCTTTACATATGATATTTAAATAAAAAATTATGACAATTTTGAATATGTATTGTATTCAGTCTATTTAGAGTATTTATTATATGCACTTTAAAAGTCATCATCTAATTATTATACTTGAAATAATGTTCAAACCAGCAAGGGTGATAGTGAAGTGATAAATACTCCTTCATCTTTTAACTAGAGGTATTAGGTTCGAAATTTTGAATCCTCCTGAATAAGGAGTCGTCTTTGTGAGGAAGCGTTTTACCTTCAATGTGAAACTTTTCAATGCGAAATCAAATTTAATTAGACTCTAACATTGATATCATATGAATTCAAATTTAATTAAACTCTAATATAAATATCGAACACCGAGTGAAAACCAAAATAATAATGTTCAAGCCTATTGTTGAGTTTTGAAGGTTTGAACATTTGAAATAATTTAACATACCATCTCATTTTATTTTGACTAGAAGTCTTGACCAATATCATCAATCAATTAAAAGGACAAATTATTGTACTTCAATTACGTACTTAAATTACGGCTAAATGAAACTTGTGCTTGCAAATTATACACGTCATTTTAATTTTCGTTTAGTTTTAGCGTTGCACCACAATCCAGATTGGTACGTTATTGAATTTGTCAACTTTGTTGATTAATTTAAAGTTCACAAAAAAAAGGGTCAACAACGTTGTGTTACAGTCCTCTTAATTAATATTATTATTAAAATGAAAAACTTGTCAATATAGTGTTTCACAAAGTCATGTTTCTATTATGCTTCGTCGAAAAAATCACAACTTGTTCAATATAAAATGATGTTTGTGCCTTTACAAAAACGTCGCAAGATAAGCGAACACATGTTGTTCAAATTCATCTTTTCTCTTGATATCTATTGAGAAAAAAATAACTCTTTAATTTTTCATTCACACCGCACAAACTTAATGATTGCTATTTTGGTCAAACATTTCACACCATTCTAACTAAAATTAGAATAGAACATTGACTGAAATTGTACGAGACTCTATTTTATGAGATTTTGACAAGTTAATGATAGTAGATTATTGAAAGGAACCTTGAAGCATCAGTAAAATTATTTTTGTATAACTTATAGGTTATAGATTCAAACCATAAAAGCAATCACTTATATTTGCACGAGAATAAGTCATCTACATCACACCCTTTGAATGCGATCCTTCTCTGAATCTCCCGTAAACCTGAAATACTTTGTACACCGAGCTATCCTACCCAATAGTCAATTACTGTTGATTATTCTATCCGCAAATCAAGACAGAAAGAAGAATATATATATATATATATACTTTATTCAAAATTAAAACATAATTTTTTAAATTTGTTTAGTGTTCTTTCCATCATGTTGATTTTCCAACTATTTTGGTACTTTTTCTACTATAATTTATACAACACATAATTTGTGAACCTCAATTAATCCACTAAATATTTGTTATTTTTCATTTACAGACGTACTGATAATTTTATCTACAAAAACTCATACAAATAATAGAACTTACAATGATAAATATTTTAAAATGAATTTGTAATTAAGATATTTTGATGGAATTTAGGTGCAAATATGTCAATTTGCAACAGTATTTTATTTAATAAAAATGATAAATAAGTGTAACGAGAGGTGTTGCGATAAAATCAAAATAAGAGAGATAATCGTAATATCAGAAGGATGCTCACAAAGCTACATTCACCACCAAACAACAAGATATTCAAAAGGGTATATTCCCGCCGAAGACCAAAACCTGATATTTAAGTAGAAAAGGGTAGAGGGTGACCCACGATTCACCAAGTTTCAAGCCAATGGCCCTCGGGAATTTCTCAGTTATCGGTAAAAGATTCAAAACAGTATAAAACTAACTGTAGTAAATGTAGGGACATTACCATTAACACACTAGCAAAAGCAAAGGTCAATAGACATGTCCAGAAGCACAAAAAAAAAAAGTACTATTAGAATTGGCAAGGTAAAGTAGAAGATGGACATTAAAGAAACATTCGTTTCGCCTTTTCCCATTTTGACCTCAACGTCTTACAAGAGAGCTTGCGCCGTTCTCTTCTCTTTCAAGAACTTGAGTTTCCGAGCATCGCCTAATGCATTGCAGGGCCGGAAACCCGTGGCCTCACGGGTGTCTTCGAAGGACTCACCCTACAACATTAGCAAAGTTGTAAAGTAAGAAGTCATATGCATTGGATATATTGAAATACCTCGTGGGAGAAAACAAAGACGCTTCAAGAATCGCCTCAAATACAAAAGTTACAAGCCAGATTATGGCAACAGAACAAATATGACCCTTTTTCGTATAAAAGCATCTGCGTGCAGCACCCTCGCGTTTTCTCCAATTCATACATTTGACACTAATAATCACTTGGTATACTATGAGCTAATGATTACAAAAGTATTCTTGGGGCTCCAACATGTTTCAACTCCAACAATAATCTTTTTAAAATGCCTAACATGTTGATTACGTTTACATAAGATCCTGCCACATTGTATTCTAATCTATGTTTGCGCGGACTCTCTGGAATGTTGCCGTACCCGTGTCGGATCCTCCTAAAAAAATACTTTTGGAGGATCCGACACGCGCTAGTTGACATTTTTTAAGGGTCCGAGCAACATAGATTCTAATTATTATTAGAATAGAGATAAGGATTTAGTTGCATAGTTTAGTCATATCTTGTTCAAATTAAGTTACACACATGTATTTAGATAGATTACAACTTAAAGATGCTATCACTTAATAGTGCTTTTTATTCGATGCATATAGGAAAAGAACGTCTTTAACTAACTACAACTTAATCTATGGAATTCAATATTGCAATTATATATATTAACCCTGAAACATGGAACCAGCAACTAGTCACATTTCCTCGTTTCAGCCTATCTGATATAGACTCTAGCCAAAGCATGCAATGTGCAGACCTTTTAAAACGTAAGCATGATTTTGTAGTTTTATTTCAGACGACAGAGGGGGAAAGCATGGACAGAGATAATAATGATGATTCTCGACAGGGAGAAGACAGTTGTTGCGGTTTGAAGGGGAGGACTTAAAAATGCATAATTCTGGTGCCTTAAACTATTCAAAAATGCCGATAGTAGAAAGATGCAACAAGAGAAGAACAAAAATGCATTCACGAGGGAAAAAGTTGGTGTGGACCAGAGGACGCAACTTCTAAATAAGCTTACCTGATAGGTTGGGAGCCCAACATCTCACCACAAAGATCTAATGCCAAAATTGCACTCTCGGCCTGCACAATTTTCAAGTATGAGTTTGATTGCGATGATTGCTCCACCGTTAGAGCGATTTGTCTTAAATGAAATTACAGTGAAGACTCATTTCCAGTTTGTTCTTTCTCCTTTTCACCCTATATAGACTAACAGGACAATTGAAAATTTTACAACAAAAAGAGGATATATAGCAGTTTTGAAAAAGACAATTCTCGAAAAGAGAATAGAGTTAAAACTGGGAAAGTGCTTAAAAGAAGGGGGGGAGTTCAAAACAGAAATAATGAGGTTTTGTATCTTTTTTTTTGGTAAGTAATGAAGTTTTGCATCTTGTTTTGTGGAAAACTGATGGGCATTATATAGTTGTCTCTTTCACCAAACTTTTCCGAAAACCAAAAAAATAATAATTGGAAAAGCCCTCTCAAATCAAACAGCAAAGAGCTTCCTCTCCTAAATTGTGCCCCGTGGGTAAGGGGCACCAAAGAAATAATGAGAAGTACATTAAAAGCGCTAAAAGTTAATGGTGACATGACATTACGAGAATCCCATGAAGGAAAGCGGAAGGTTACATTAGTATCTTGGGAACAGGTGTGCTTTCCTAAGAACTGGAATGTCACTTTTGTTGGGAAACTACTATAGGAATTAGTAGAACACAAAACTTCACTTTGGGTCAAGTGGGTGCATGGCATGTACATAAAAGACAATTCTAATATTTGGACACATCAAGCTCCTCAAGACTCTAGTTGGTATTGGAAAAAGCTCAATGAGCTAAAGGAGGAAATAAATGAAGACGTGATACCACCACGGAAAATACAACCTTACTGCTGGAGGAAACTACTTGATAACTAGTAGTTACATTGCTATCACTTCTAAAAAATCACTATTTTCCCACTGAAAAATGTTCAGTGGCTATTCCCTATATATTTGATTGAATCGGTGAGAAAAGAAAAAATAGTAATGTTTTCATACGAAAAAATTAGGAAGCTTCCCACTATTTCAGTGAGAATCTGTTTCCGACCAAGCATTTTCCCAGTGAGTGACTGGTTCAGTGGAAAATATGAGTGAAAATCATATTTCATAGCACAAATTTCCCACTGACTTGCGGAGGAAAAAACCTTTGTTTCTAGTAGTGTATCCTTGGGTAACAAAGAAAACTGGACACTGCTAAACTTATATGGACTGCTGTAGCACACCTAGACACAGGTTTATACTATGAAAGGTTTAGCACAATCTTCAAAAGAGTAACTGTTCATAGCGAGGTTGTTCTTACATGGATTAAGATAGAAAGGATAGATATACTTAAGGTGTCTTGGAAGGCTCATAGATGTAGAGGATTTTTGCATTCAATACTGTGTAATTAGATGATGCTTCTGAGGCTTAACTCCCATTGCCTGGTTGATGTGGGATTAGGTGCTCTTTAGGTGTTTGCTTTTATTGTTGTCAATGGTAATATTCACAGCTGTTACCAAAAAAGAAATGCAAGATAGAGAGAGATGGAGACAGAGAGAAGTCTACTTGGGGTGGACATAAGCCTTTTCGGCTATTGAAAAGACTTGGTTTGGAAATGGGATATTCACATGTTCTTGTCTGTTCTCTATTGGACATTGCCTTCATTAAGGTCCCGTTTGGACTTTAAAAAAAATTCCTTTTTCTCAAAGTGTATTTTCAAATTAATGTATGGTTAATAAAAGTTACTATTTTCCAACTTGGGTTTGCCTTGAACTGAAAGGTGCGGAAGGACAAGGTTCGTGTAGAGGGGACAAAGCTAAAAAGATGAACATCTCGGAAGAAACAACATACCATAACAAATTCAACAAAACCGATACGGGTAGAGTGCACTTGATCCCCCAAAAGCCTCAGACGAGAAACCTGCAAAGGAAGAATTATCATTCAGCTTCACCTCTCAAGTCAAGATTCACATTGTATTGAGAGATTTTGAACATCATACTGACCACACCGCATCTTGTCTCAAAAAAGAATTTGACATCAGCTTGAGAAACCTGTTGATCATAGAGTACATTTATTTCTGAAATATAAAACGAAACAGCAAGCAGTGTTATCAAAAGAAAAAAGCGCAAAAAAGAGCTCTAAGGTCTGTTGGGGCTTTAAGAGCAAAGCACAAATAAAGAATGGGCTTTAATGAAAAAAGGCACAAATGGAGAAAAAATATGAATATAGATGTTAAGTCCTAGACAAATAATTATAAGCACGAATAACAAATATATGGACAACGAAATTGGAAAAAAATAACAGTCTAGTGAAACATCAATGGTTTTAATGTATCCTCTTCATGAAATGCCCATTGGCTAGAAAAAGTATGACTTAGAGCCTTGATGACGATACTAAAACACACATTAAGTGAGGCAAAGCGCTCAACATGTTTTGAGGCCACAAGCCAGGGAATACAATAACTGGTGCGTGCACAAGCTACAAAAATATCCAATAGAAAGATGCCGTCAAGAAAAAACATGGTTTTTTTTAGAAGATTTCAAACATGAAACACCATACCATCTTATCGATATTTGTACAATAGACTGTCCTAGCACACATTTCACGCTCATCCTCTGACTGCATATAAATCAAAACAACACGTCAGCTGACAAGAAAGCAATTAGTTGTCCTCGACTCCACAAGGATGAGATAGAACCATAAGCAAATATTTGAGTAATATTCTCCAGATACAGCACAATGAAATGCCAAAAATTTGCATACCCTTGGAAGGAATGTAGGATTCACAGGTAGAATAGCGGTTTTTGAAGGTAGAACCTTGAGTTGGGAGAAACCTAAAATTGTTCCACAAAGACAAAGCGACGCTTTTGCAGAATCTGTTCAGAATGATTCCAAATGACATTATTAGTTTCAACTGTTCAGCAAACTTAAGAATTTCAGCCAAAACACACTACTCCCTCCGTCCCAATTTTAGGTAGCAGTTTTACTGGACACAAAATTTAAGAAATATGGGAAGACTTTGTAATGTTCAAAAACTACCCTTAAAATAAATGAATTATTAAATAGAAGAGTACACCTTCTGTGGACTTTTTGCCAAATAAGTAGGACCCAATATGGGAAAAATGTTGATGGAATCATTAAATATTTGCCAAATAAGGAAATGTGTAATTCTTATTGGGACCGACTAAAAAAGAAAGTGTGTCACAAAAATTGTGACAGGGGGAGTACTTACATTCATCAGCGAACTCAACAAAAGCAAAGCGAAGGCGGGAGTGTGGATCACCACAAACTCGGCAGTCCACGACCTGCAAATAAGCACCACCAAAATGAAAACAACAACTCTTACACTCTTTAATAGAGTAACACATCAAGAAGTTGTACGAAGACAGTCTACTTTCGGAAACATTCTAACTAAGTCATTGCAAAAGGAAAACTAAGATGACAAACGGGAACATAAACATCATTACTTCATTTAACATTTACCCACACATTGCAGCCCCAACACACACACATCAAATCTATGCCCTTCTGCACCTATCAAACATCTGTCCCAATAGTAAATAGTTTAAATGAGTGTATGGAAATGTCAATTCTCATTAAAGGAACCTGGAAAGGACAAAGCATGAGGCGTAGATCCCAACTTTTAAGGCAAAAATGCTACACCCAGAGAACCCAAGCATGCAGGTCCCACCATGGACCAAACTGCACGCTCTTGAGTGTGATGATGGAAGTTAGGAGACAACAGGAACCAATAACCCAAGTTCCTCTATACTGAACCATAGGGGGGATGATTTGAAAAGTGTAAGTCTTTGCATACATATATTCTTGTATGCTTAACACAAATAAGCATGAGGGCTAGTCCCCTTTTGTCAAAGGCATCTTCACAAAAGTGAAGTGGCGCATAATTCAAATTGCTAAAAGGAGATGATTTCTGCCAATGGGGACTGGAGATTGCTGGAGACTGAAGACATATATCTTTTTTTGATAAAGGACTGAAGACATATATCTCTTTTTTGGTGAAATTCAAAAGATCAACAGTTAATAATAAAGTTCACAGAGGTATCTTAAATTAATGAGGGGGCTCAAGCAGTGGTTCAAGTCGATAAGCGAGGAGACCATTCTCACCAAAGCTCAAGTATTTACTTTTCTATTTAGAGAACAACGTCACGGGGCTAACATGGATCCACTCAAGGACCTACTGATTTAGGTAAATAGCTAATGTGTTCTCCGACTGGAGAGGTATTTTTTTTTGGACAAACTGTGTGCTTCTCAAAAAAGTCGGAAGAAATGCACAGGATTTAAAATGAAAAAATATACATATAAATATAACCGTCTGGCTGCTTTTTCTTTATGTTATGCTTAGAGGAGTAATCTACCATAGTCAATTTACAGGCAATCCAAGTTAGCGTGGATGGTGCAGCTTTATACAAAGTATCAGAAATGGAAGGTAATTACTTGTTTCTTGCTTTCTCAAGTTATTAAAAGAAGCATGCACGTAAGAACTCAAATATCTAATATGATGATTCAATCAATGTTCAGAAGGGCGTAGTGACTTACTTGTCCATATGCACTAAATAGCGCAGCAAGCTGCTCTTCCGTGATCTATATTTAAGGTAAAAGGCAAAATAAGAAAAACTACATAAATACTAATATATAACATCATATATAATTCAACAATTGTAGATCATTACATACATTGATATCAAGGTCGGAAACATAGACTGTTCGCCTAATGCTATCTTCTCTTTGAGCTCTAAAAGATCTACTGTGCATTCTCCTTCTGCTTTGGTTAAAGTTGTTTCCTCTCTGTGAAAAAATAAATGTGAGACAAAAGAAAGGAATTTCACCACACAAGAAAGCATGACAAACCCAATCACTTGAGATGGTTGTTCATGATTCAGATTGGTCATTAAGACATTAAACAAGACCAAAAATTGAGCTACACGATGCCATAGTAAATTAAAAATGTCAAGTAGGTAAAATTGTAAGTGGTTTTCCACTAGTAGGCTAGTAGCATCGCTGTCACTAGGCTATAATGCACGTTTTCATTTGAATGTAAGCAAATTTGATGATCTGACCAGAGCGTTAGAGTTGCCGTATGTGAAATAACAAATTATCCCTTTATATCTCATCCATATATAGCAAAAGTTATGTTTAGTATCACAAAACAACCAATGTAATGAAATCAAACAGCTAGCACATGCACATTAAACGACAAATTCCACGATATCCACTAACATGATCCAATGTAATGAAATGGCATAACTAGCGCGTGCTTAGATGGTACTCATACACTCAAACCAGCTAAGCAAACCAAAGGAATTGATCCCATTTAACTAACTTAATGCCAATTTTCTGTTTTTAACACATGGGCCTGGTTTCTAAATTCAGTTCGATCGGAAGCCCTTGAAAAATGATTAATGCCGAAATGCATTTGGACCGTTGCAACAACTTAAAGTGGAAACTAATCATTTAAAATCCTCACAGGATCAATAGTTACCCAAAATACATGGAATGTCCAAACAAACACATTTCTTACCAAAAAAAATATGAACATATCTCAAACAAGCATGAAAATAACAGTTACATTTCCCTCAATACCAGCTATTACCGGCAGTCCGGCACAAACTAATGTACACACACACAATTTCGACAAAATTCAACACGGATACTTTAAGCCAAGTTCAGTCATGAGAAAAAAACCTTAAAACAGACTAGCAACATCAAAATAGCAACTATTCCAAGTAATCATCCAATTAACAATTGTTTAGTCATGAAAACAGACCTCAAAACAGACTATATCAACATCAAAATTGCAATTATTCCAATTAATCATCCAACTAACAATTATTCAGTCATCAAAAAGAGCTTAAAATACACAAAAACAACAAAATAAGATCTCAAAATATTAACAATACCCTTCTGTTATTTCTGAAACCATCACCTCCCATATTCATCTTATCAGCTGTCACAAAATTGTTGAAAATTATCTGATCACGATTATATGAAGAAGGAACAAATTCCTTAGCCATTGGATTCAGCTTCAGATTATTCAACATATGAACAACAATATCTTGCATTTCATACTCCGATTTTCCATTCGACACCACATCAGACTCTTCAACAACACCATTAACTACAGATTCAGACTTCACATTTGGCACAACAACCTCAATAACATCAATTTCATCACACCCTTTTGCACCAGCCGCCATTGAAACAAAAAAAAACTCAACTTTTAACAAGAAAACAGATAAAAAGAGGAATTCTTGATTCCAATAAATTAAAGATCAGATTTTTACAGCAAAAATCTAATCTTTACACAACCCCAATATAGAAATATGTAAAATTAAATATGGGTATAGATCAAAAACTCAAATCTGTAATCTGAAATTGAATTATTTTAGAGCAAAATGTGTTCAAGAAAAGCTTATTGATCGAGACCCATTTGGGGAATCAAAAGAAAATGATGAGTGAAAGAGAAGACAGGACACAGAAAGAGAGAGCTAAGAAGGGGTTTTTGACAAATTTGATCAAATGGTTGAGTAATGGATTTTGGTGGTGTGGTTTATCAAGAAAACAACATGTGGCTTTGGGCTTTGGCCTATTGCAAATTGCAACTCTTTTGTGGCATTGTGTATTGGGTACACATATCAAGGAAGGGAATTGTAGAAAAAGAAAAAAAAATTATTTTTTTTATAATCGTGGTGTGCGAATTAACCTGTACGTAACAACATCAATCAAGTAGTCCGTCGGACTAATCACTAAGTAAATGTAATAAAGACAATATTTATGCAGATATTATCTCTATCTTAAAAGATACCTCTTATCATATGTGGAGAATGGAGACCATTTATATGCACTTCAACCAATTTTATATCGTTTATCGAATCAGATCAAATTAAGAAACTTATTATAAAGATAAATTTTTGATTCGTGAATCTACATATTATCAACCCACTTCATTAGCTACCTATTACATCCTTTGGTGCATAGGAACAAACATTTGTATGCTACAAAATTATAATATATTTTTTACGTTGATTTATATCACAAAATAAGATGTTTTTTTTTGTGAAAAATATAAAATGAAATATAATTTTATAAATGAATATAAAATCATTTGATTCTTTACTTTTTTTAGAAAAAATATTTTCCACAATATCAAATACATTAATCTAATAATAGTTGTCAATTAGGAATAACATAACACATAGATAGAACGTACAATTGAACACCTCAATTTTCATTTGTGATTATTTAGGCATTTTAACTTTACATACATGTGTCTTGCGAACACTTAACTTTGAGAATGGATATTTAAACATTTTTTTAAGATTATGAGTTATAAATGTGCATTCTTAAAGTTAAAATGTTTACAGAGTCAACTCAAATCAAATTAAGATATTAAAATTTGTATTTTTAAAATTGAATATTTAATTATCGTTTGAGACTTAATTAAAATATTTATGTATGTATTATGTCATTATATTGACAACTAAAATTCCTATGTATTCCTCATAGATTAGTATAGTAAAACAAGTGGTTTTACACTAGGACAAGAATATATGTACCTATCTTTGTATAATTTCTTACTTTTTGCAAGAATATTTTTAAAATGAGTAAAATGCCTAGGGAATGGTGCACCATTATAATCATCAAATACACTCACTTTCACTCCCCCCACCGTATTTTTTTCCACCGCGTTCAATATTTCACGTTGAAGTTCGACTAAATTCGAATTTACATAAAAAAGTCTCACATTAAAGATTTAACGCTTCTAAGAAGACTCAAATCTAAAACCTCTTAATTAAGGATAAAAGTACTTTACCACTCTCTGCCATAATCTCTATATGCATTGCTCTATAGCTTAGTAATTGGTCCACAATGTACTTTTTGTTTCATCTATTGCCAAACATAAAGATAAAATAATAATAATTAAAAAGAATAAAAAGATCGTCTGATTTTGTAGTCTTTTATAAATTTATTTTTGATAAAAGAATAGTATGAAAATAATATACGGAAAATCTGAAAAGATCTTTTTTCTACTAAATTTCGTAAGTTCCCATATAAGACAATTTTCTCAAAGGAAAATAAGTTGGTTAAGGATTTTAATACAACTTCTTTGATGAAAATATGGATAATAAGTTTTATAAATGATATTTCATGATGAGCATCTCCTCCCTATTTCGACACCCCTATTGATTGCGACTCACACACACTCCCACCCCACCACATTTAATTTGTGACTATTTAATCACTTTATTGGACATATGTGTCTTTCGTGAATATCTTAATTTTAAAATTGTGTAATTAGATGTCTTTTAAGAGGATACACTCTAGATATGCATTCTCTTATGCAACTAACTTAAATCGAATTAAGATATCCAAATATGTTAGATGAATATTTAGTTGTCAATTAAGACTAAATCAAAATATTTAAAAAGTGTTTTATTTTCAAAAATAAGATTTCCCAATATAAGTTTAAATTTAGTTTATTTACTACACGATATCAAATATCGAATGGAAAAAAAGAAAACGGCAACCTCATTTCTATTGTTGATCTCTCTCTATATATAGAGAGAGAGATAAAAGAAGAAAATAACATTAAAGGATGTATTGTATATATTCTTTGACTTTTTTTCACATAAATTAAATATTGAATGGAGTCATAAATGTGCAGATTTTCTGATAAATAAAAATTATAAATATGAAAAAGATTTGCTAATTTGAGAAAGTAATTTTAAGAAAATGATTTTCTTTTATGTTCACGACAACTAATTTAAGTGAAATAACTTAGAGATAAAGTTGGATTTAAGTACTACGACTTCTGAATTGAGAGAGTTAATGATTTTGAAATGTATGTATAATGGTATTTAGTTTTTAATTGTATGTTTAAAGGTATTCGATTTTTACCTCTGAAAATTTAAAATGTATGTCTAATGGTATTCGGTATGGTATGCTAATGGTATAATAATTTTAAAAATCGAATATTGAAATTATGATACCAAAATTTCAAATACCGTATCATACCATACCATGCCCACCCCTACTTGTTATACATCAATTTCATAGCCTAATTACCAAACAAAATTAAAGACCATTTAACTATGTTCTTTAAAAAGGCATTTAACTTCCACCCCTTTTGGCTACAATTAGGCAAAAATGTAGAAATGTATCAATTTTCAAATCTTATACATGTTGATAAAAACTGGTTCTTTAATTTCTATACAGATTAGATTACTTAGTTCCTCTTCTTTCTTTATTTCTTCATCCGATCCGATCTTCGGTATTCATTTTAGGCTTTGATTAATCCGAATTAATGCCAATAAATCCCACTTTGGGAGGTAAACTCCCAAAGCTCGAATATATACTTATGGATATCAATTTTGACCAATATTTTAAAATATATTTTTCATCATACTGACATGACAAGAATTTCAGTTTATCATACTTTTATATAGTTTTTCAATATCAGAACTTTAATTTTGAAATATTGAAAATTGATCTAATCCAACTAGCATTGAAGTTTAGTCACATTGACTTTCGATAAGCAATAAATTGAGACAAAGGGAGTATGCCCCATGCCTCATATTGATGATCTATTTGACCAGCTTCAGAGTATCACAGTGTTTTCTAAGATTAATTTGAAATCCGATTACCATCAGTTGAGGATTAGGATAGCGGACATCCATAAGATCGCATTTAGGACTCGATGCAACTTATAATGGACTTTTTCCGTAGTGTTTAAATTTTATACATAATCAGGTGTCCAAATGATATCTACAGCCTACATGTTAGGTGCTACAACATGTAAAGATAATCCAATAATATAAAAATTACTTACACCGACGATGTATATTACTTAAACTCTAATCAATATATACCACAAAAAACAGAGATTCTTATTAAGAAAATAATGATCAGAGAATACCCAATGGAAGCATCTCTAGCAATTTATCAGAAATATACATACCAGTTTACATAATGCAAACTCATCACACAAAAGTAAATTTTCCAATGAAAGATAGATAAGTTATTCAGAACATATAAATAAGAGCAACTCGATGAACTAAGCTTCCACTATGCGCAGAGTCCGAAGAAGGGCTAGATCACAAGGGGCATTCAGAACATAAATGGAAACTAACATTTTGCCTTGGTGAAACAACTTAACACCAAAGGTCTTATGTTTATAACCTTGACACGGGAAGAGAAGCCCGCGGAGTCTCCCAATCAGTCATGACATGGTTACGCGTAATCTCCTTCAGTGAACGACAGCCACTCAAGGCCATAGTTAGCTCAAACTCGTCGCGTATCATCTGCAGTGCTTTCTTGACACCAGCTTCTCCATCAGCAGCCAATGACCAAATGATTGGTCGCCCAATCTGCAGAGGCGATCACAAACGTCATTACAAGAATAATATGTCATAAACAGAAGTATATATGTCCCCTTTTCCGAAAACCTGGCCTTATATACAGGGGCAGACTAGCGTCTAGCTTAGAAGTTATATGTGAATTCACGTGAATCCAGTAATTTTTTCCCAAACATTGTATACCTGTTAAAAATGTCACTAAATATTTGACAGTGAAACATATTATTACTGTATATTAACTTGAGGTCGTTGTAGGACCTCCTAAACTTCAAATTCTGAATCAACCTCTTGCTAAGTATATATATACAATCCGTTGCAAGATTGTCACAAGTTGAATTGTGGAAGTGACTTCTATTGAAATGCTAAGTTAGACTTCCGGTGGACATGTCATTATTGATGGAATGTCACATTCTGTTGCATCACAAAGATAGACGAGCTACACAATCACTTCCAGAATGATCGTAAAGTGAGGCGGATCTAAGATTTAAACTTGAGGCGTTCAACCTTAAGTTTGCATTGACTCATTGTACTTTTGAAAATTATGAGTCTGTAATTTAATATTTGTTGAAAATTTAGTTATTTTTTCATGTATAATATTCCGTGTCGAAAATACTGGATTCAGTTGAGTCCAAAAGATTGAGGTTTGTGTTATGTTGTACTTACAAACACGCCTGATGCACCAAGCGCCAGAGCTTTAAAGACATCTGTTCCACGACGAACGCCTCCATCCAGGAACACGGGGATACGGCCTTGTACAGCTTTCACAACCTATATATTCATATGAAAGCAATGCATGTCAGGAAGAATGTACAAGGTTTTTACTAGACAGACGAGGCGAGAGGAACCAAAACAAGAATCAGTAAGCTAGAAACAAGTTAGATACCTCTTCAAGAGCCATAATTGTGGCAGGGACATAGTCAAGTTGGCGAGCACCGTGGTTCGATACAATGATACCAGCTGCTCCAGACTGAACTGCAATCTTAGCTGCAGATCCAAAGTAAAAAGTGTTTCACCACTAATATGCACAAGTATTGAACTGAATAATGTGAGGAGAAATTATTAAGAGTGATATGATAGGTGCACTAAGCTCCCGCTATGCGTAGGGTCCAGGGAAGGGACAGACCACAAGGGTCTATTGTACGCAACCTTACCCTGCATTTCTGCAAGAGGTTGTTTCCACAGCTCAAACCCGTGACTTCTTGGTTCCGTGATAACAACTTTACCAGTTATGCCAAGGCACCCATTCAATTCATTG